ACACCAACACACACCCTAACCAGCACACCAACACACACACCCCGTCAAGGTTTTGCTCACTGACACCTCACAGTACACTGTACTGTCCGTGTTGCAAATGATAAAAATAAATCTTGGAAAATCAAAGCAAGCTACATTGAGTTGCACATATGCTGAGCAGTAGATCCTGGGGTGTCTGGCTCCAGCCCTCCCACACCCACTGATGGCCTCTACATTATCATCTCTGCTCTGGTTATTAACTGAGACTGTCTCCCTTTATATCCACTTAGCTCTGCCTGCAGCTAACGCCGGTCTCTCCAGCTCCCCTGCAGTGACGACTCTGAATCCAGTTCAGCCGTGCCAGTGAGATGAGGCTCCTGTGCAACCTAAATGCCAGGAGGAACCTGCAAGGCATCTCCCAGGAACTGGGGGAGCCAAACGGAAAATTCCAGCAGATGTGACTAAGAGCTTGGTATTCACTGTCACATCCCACGCTTTCAAAGAACCGGTCCATGGTGGCGGCAGTGGCCGCAGACATGGCCACCACGCAGCCTCTTGACTCCAAACGAAATCTCCACTCAGCACTGCAATCATCCGACCTGGAGGTCAACAGTCCAATGGCAGCCCCAAACTCTAGATTTCCCAAATATTTAATTCTTCATATTAAACCAACCTTCTAATCAACGTGCCTAAAATGATTTCCCTTTCTTGAATCAATAAATCTGGAATTCAGCGATTAAGCATCAGCTTCACTACTCACTCATTGGAATCCCCTAGAAAATTAATTTTTATACCATAAGCTATACATCTTTGTCTTGAGAGTATATGCAATTAACCCATATGTTCCTCTTCTTTCTCATATGTATGAGAAGCACCTGAGAAGCTTCCAATGGGGTAGCATACTCACCATACAATGAAAGAAGGACTCTCTCTGTCTTCCCTCAGTAAATGGAAAATGAAGGCCACGGATTGCCAGTCTCATTCCCCGCCACAGCTAATCTGAATTCTTTTTGTTTTCTTTAATATTTTTTTTACGTTCATTGGTGTTTTGTCTGCATATAAGTCTGTGCGAGAATGTCAGATCTTGGCGTTACAGACAGTTGTAAGCTGCCATGTGGGTGATGGGAATTGAACCCAGACCCTCTGGAAAAATAGCCAGTGCTCTTAACGGCTGAGCAATCTCTCCAGCCCCCTCATATAAATTCTTACAAGAGAGACATTTCTCTTTTGTAACTTTCATCGAGAGTACAGTAGGCTAAGGTTAGGCTGTAGGAGCCCCGGATTGAACTCAGATCCACAGGCTTGGCGTCGAGTCCCATTGCCTGCTGGGCCATCTCACAGCCCATCTGAAGACCCCGACTGAAATAACTCAGACAGCCAAGTTTAAGTCAGATGAGAAGCAACACATATAAAATATGACTTTTCAAAAGGAAGAGGTATTGTAATTTGTGAAAGCATAGCAACCTGTTAACACTATGTCAGAAAGTGCAATCTTACAGAACCTAGATCTTACCGTCCAAATGTTGGCTGAGTCCCAGATTCCCAGCCTCAGGGAGCCTGGGGTTTTCCAAGCTTTAGCTTACTGAACTTAAAAAGGCAGCCTGATCGCCATCCCTAAAGCTTTTGTGACAGTTGGAAGGAGATTCCACATGTAACAACACACTGAACATGCCAACTTCTTCCTTACCTCAGAAATGAGCTATGGAAGAATTTATCCCCGCCCCATGGCCCTACCTGATCCTCAGACAAGCATGGACTATAAAGTCTATATTCCACTGACACTTTTAAAATGTATAAAAGACAAAGTGAAGAGTTACAGCTAAGCCACCATCCCAGACCTGAAGTGGATGCCACCACTTCAACTCCACCTCCTGACCCCTCAGCACTTTTAATATTTAATATTAATATTTAATATTAATATTTAACTGCCACTTTCTGTGCCGCCATCCTACAACCCGGAGTACCCTGAGTATTCCCAACGCTGCAGTGGGAGAGCCGCCCCACACCATTTACATTCCTGAAGATTAAACACACCCAAGCGGAACGCTAGGCAGGCTTTCTGGAAACTACCAATTATGATAATTAGCTTTCATATAAGTATTACCAGGAAAACTGTTGGTGTCTTTATTTTTTTTAAGTGGGGACTCGATCCCTGGCTTAAGAGTAAGAGCAGCGGCTGCTCTTCCACAGGACCCAGGTTTGGTTCCTAACCCTCCCTGTCCCCAGTTCCAGGGGTATGGCGCCCCTTCTGGCCTGTGTGGGCACTACATGCATGGGGTGCACAGACACACAAGGGATTTTCTTCCCAAGAGTGACTTGACAACAAACCTCATTCGTCTCTTCACCTCCTTTGGCCTGTCCTTCACCAATCTCTCCATTCTCATAGCTGCTGCTCTTCTCAACCCACAGCTCAGATTTTTCCACCGTCAGCCGAAGTTGGTCAAGATCCGCCTTAATTTGCTTGTAGTTATCAACATCTTGGTTTGACACCAGTAGCTGCACCTAAACACAGAAGAACTGCATCCCTCAAAACTGTGTCACAGCTTTCTGTAGCCTGTACATCTGAAATCCCATCTTTTTTTTTTTTTTTTTTTTTTTTTTTTTTTTTGGTTTTTCGAGACAGGGTTTCTCTGTGTAGCTTTGCGCCTTTCCTGGAGCTCACTTGGTAGCCCAGGCTGGCCTCGAACTCACAGAGATCCACCTGGCTCTGCCTCCCGAGTGCTGGGATTAAAGGCGTGCGCCACCAACGCCCGGCTCTGAAATCCCATCTTTAAACACTCATTAGTTGAAGTTCAACACTTACAGAACACTTATGGATATTTATGTGCATATTGACTGAAAACCTGCAAATATTCATGAACTCCAACCAAATATTCACCTGTGAAAAGGAATTCTTAGATGTGTACTCTCAAAAATCTTTTAAAATTCTGATAAGAAATTTAACATAAAAGTTTAGGGGGTTGGGGAAATGGCCCAGGGATTAAGGGCACCTGCAGCTCTTGCAGAGGACCTGAGTTCAGTTCCTGGAATCCACATGGGACTCCAATCTCCTGCAACTCCAGTTCCAAGTGATCTGAACCCTCTTCTGGCCTCCATGGTACTGCACACATAAGGTGCATGTACTTAGATGAGTGCAAACACCCATACACAAAAAACAAAAGTAAACAAATCTTGTACAAGATGATCTCTAATTTCATGGTTCAAGTTCATTTTCCTGAGGTTGTCTATACATGTATCTGTCTGAAAAGTCAAAACATAAAAACCCATGGAAGAAAACATTAATGGCTACAATACACATTTGCTAGTATAGACAGTTTCAGAACTTGAGAGGACCATACAATTGTAATTTATACATACTACATGGCACATACTTGTAAAACATGTGCATCTAGATGATTACCATTTAACTCCTTCATATCTGTTAGCATCTTCCCAAAAAGCTTCCTAATACAGGTCCGCACTCCACCAAACACAAAACATCAGTGACCTACTCATACATGCAAGTGATCATGAGAGATTAGTGTGCAACCCAAACATCATGGGGAATGGGCTGGATCTCCATCACAGGATAGATGGGATCTCATCACAGGATAGACTGGATCCCCATCACAGGATAGACTGGATCCCCATCACAGGATAGACTGGATCCCCATCACAGGACAGACTGGATCCCCATCACAGGATAGACTGGATCCCCATCACAAGATAGACTGGATCCCATCACAGGACACGTTGGATCCCCATCATGGGAGACAGACTGGATCCCTATCACAGGTAGGGGACAGACAGGATCTCCATCACAGGAGACAGGCCAGATCCCCATCATGGGGGACAGACTGGATCCCCCATTACAGTTCCTTTCTTTGGAGGTTCAGCTTTTTTTTATCACAAGATATTTATTTTGAAGCTACAGCTTGCCAGATTCATCATTAAATTCTGTAGCCAAAATAACGGCAGTGGCAACAAGACTTCTAATAGGTTACTGTTCCCCAGAACCTCCTAAATTTTAGAGTGTGTCACTTTTATAAAGATACTGACTGAAGATCCCTTGTGAGAGACTCATTCTAAAGCAGGTCCTGTCTACACACAGACAAGACCACATCTATCTTTCAAAACAAAAATAACAAACTAGGTATTGTATTGCATGCCTACAATTCCAGCACTCCAGTGGCAAAGGCAGGGGGATTGCCAAGAGTTCAAGGTCAATCTGAGCAATATATTGAACTCTGAGCCAGCCTGTGCTACAGAGTGAGACCCTGTCTCAACAACAAGGAACAGGGTCTGAGGAACACAGCCTCATCTGCAGCTACCATCAGGGTGTGGTTACAAACACTTTCAGAATTCCACAGCCCTCAATCTTCAGTGTTCATTTTCTTGGTACAGAGCTGAGGACCGAACCCAGATCCCATGTGCCAGGCAAGCAGGCGCCCAGCCCCAGCTCACCTGTTTAAAGGCCTGCAGCACTTCCGCTCTCTGGCTGAAGTGTTTGAACAGCAGCTGCAGGGCTCCCGAGAGCAGCGGAGGGTAGTCGTGCATGATGAGGTGGATGAGGACCCGCAGGAATGTCCTGCCTCCTTCATCGTCAAGCTGAACTGGAGTTTTTTCCTTTCTATGAAACCAAAAGTAATTCTAAAATAACACATCACATGATATCTATATTAAAGTCATTTCAACTGTATGTGTTTTTAAACTTAAACCCTTGTTTTCTCAAAATAAGAGATGAGAGGGAGACATTGTCACTTCCTAATCTTATATAACTGATGACATAACAATGACAAAGATGGTTCCTCAGCCAGTCTCAAGAGTTAGTCACCAACACAGGAAAAACAAGCGCTGAGTGATCCCTAAGTCATTTTCATTGTCATCTAGCATATAAAATGATGGGTTTCATTGTGACATTTTCATACATAGTTCTTTGTCCACTGCCCTCTTTGTCCTCCTTGCTCTTCCACTCATCTCCTCATCCCTCAAAGAATCCCCCTTCTGCGAAAGCATTTACTGACAATGTCGACCAATGGCCAGAGACCAGATCACCACACGGCAAGTGGGGCGGGACAGTCACAAAGGCACAGCCATCACCACGGGGCTCTGTGGCTTGGTGGCCCAGCGGGACTGGGAACAGATTCCACTGGGGCTTGCTGATGGGCTGCGCCCCCGGAAGCAACCCTTACGTGACTTTGTGGTTGAGTAAGCATTGTAGAGGGCATTATGAAAGCCTGCATAGCCTATCATGCACCTACGTCATGTAATATGTGTGGGTTACGTAGGTGGGGGAAGATAGATATGATAGAGAGATAGATGATAGATAGATGCATAGAACACAGACAGTAGATAGATACACACACATGACTGACATATAGAACTGATACACAGACAGCTAGGTATATGGCACATGATAGAGCCAGAGATGCATACACTCATAAACATGATTGATAGACAAGATACATAAATATACATAGATGATAGGCAGACACACAGATGACTTTAAAATGATAGGTCTATGCAGATATATAAATAGATGATAGATACATAGATGACAGATGATAATTTATTGATTCTAGGATCACGATGAACAAGGCAGCACAAGAGAAGTGATGCAATCAGGAGACAAGGGGCATGAGCTGCTGCTGCTGATCACACACACTCACACACATGCACGCACACATTCTCTCACATACACACACTCACACATACATGTACTTACACACGTTCACACACTCACATATACATTGACACATACACACACTCTCACATACATGCATGCACACATTCTCTCTCTCACACACACACATGCATACTCTCTCACACACATGCATACTCTCTCACACACATGCACACATGCATCCACACACATGCACACACATGCACACACACATGCACACACCAAAATTATAGTTAAGAGTATATTCACTACATAAGCAAGTAACAGTCACACTCAAGTACTCCATCCTGCTTGTGACCACACACTGACACAGTTGGCTGTGTGGCGCTGTCCACAAGCTCCTCCACAGACAACACACTAGCACACTGCACTCTGACAACTGGATGGCTGTGAAGTCCCTCGTCTCTAGGAACTTTTTAGTTCTTCCATTTTATAGAACACAGTTCTATCACGGATCTGTCACCTGGAGCTGTCATTGGCCAAAGTGACATTATGCAGCTCATGTTGGTGTGTTAAGATCATAGACTGGCTTTATCTTTCTTCCCCAGAATAATAAATATTTCAATCAGAAATCATAACAGTAGAAAAACAAGACTATAACAAATGTTCACTAGATGATGGATCTTCTGGGAGCTCTGTCCTTCCTCCTTCTTCCTTCTTCCCTCTTCCCTCCTCCCTCCTTCGTTCCTCCCTTCCCTCCTACCTCCCTTCCCTCCTCCCTCCTTCCTCTTTTCTCCCTTCCCTCCCCCCTGGACAGAGCCTCACTATGTAGCCCAGGCTAGCATGGAACTGTGCACCTGACAGTTAATTTTTAATTCTTTTTCCCTCTCTAGGAAAAAGAGGCAGTAGGGAGCTCAGTGTAGACATTTTTATCTCCTCAGATTATCTAAAGTCTAATAAAAATGAATGTCAGTAATTCTACCTGAGATTTACTTGCTCATTTTGATTGCTATTATATCATTTCTGAAAATGAAACTTGACGACAATACATGCCAGGGATGTGGCAGCAGAGGAGAGCGGTCATTTTCTTCCCCTGTGGACACTTCCAACTGACATGAAATGTCTGATTTCTCACTCATAAAGTTAAGGATGACATCAAAAGACACCACTTTCTGCCTCCGCTACCTAGGACTCTGGGACACAATGTGTTAAGAGATACCACGCTGTTTCTGTGGGGGCTGACGGGCATCTGTGTGCTGCCATCATCTAAGGAAAGAAAAGCTAATTCTGAGAGAATTAAGTATGTAGAACTTTTCTCCCATTTTTTAAGGTGATTTAAGTAAGAGTCATACTCTTTCTTCTAGAGTAAATTCCGAGCTTCATTTCTGGCAGAAATTATGTTAGCAGCAATTGGAGTATCTAAATACGTATAAAAAGACGAATGGTAGCAAACTATGGATAAAATTCTAGGTGAGACATATCCGCATATAAGACAAAGACTCATTACAGTACCTGCCAGCGAACATGGTTTCTGCCTGAGCTGCAATCTCGTCAATGTCGGGAACAATAGCTGTGAAGACAATACAGAAAGTCTTCATTTTGTTTTAATTCATGTTCATAGTCATTTACTTGAAGATGTTTTTTATTTCCATACTTTTTGTGACACCAAATGTTAACAGTTCAGAAAATTACAATATAGTTCCACTTAAATCAGTGTGATGGTGCTTTGTCAACTAGACACAATGTAGAATCACCTAGGAAAGCATTTCAATGAGGAATATTGCGTTAGGATGTCGAGGGCTGTTGTGATTACTAATGTGGGAAGATCCAGCCCACCACGGGTGGCACCATTCCCCAGGTAGGAGGTCCTGAGCCGTACAGAAGTCAAGCAGAGCTCAAGCGGGCAAGCATGTGCACATTGACTTCTCTCTCATCCTGGGTGTGGACATATGACCCGTTCTCTCAAGGACATGTTCTGTGACTTCCCTGTGATGATGGGCCATAACCTGGAAACAGAGACTGAAACAAACCCCTTTTTCCCTTAATTGCTTTTTTTTTTTTTTTTTTTTTTTTTTGGTTTTTTGAGACAGGGTTTCTCTGCGTAGCTTTGCGCCTTTCCTGGAGCTCACTTGGTAGCCCAGGCTGGCCTCGAACTCACAGAGATCCGCCTGGCTCTGCCTCCCGAGTGCTGGGATTAAAGGCGTGCGCCACCACCGCCCGGCCCCTTAATTGCTTTTTATTGGAGTATTTTATCACAGCAAACTGGAACAAACTTGAGCATCTTAACTGAAGTCCCTGCACGCGTGTGTATATATTCAGATGCTGAATATTGAATCCAGGCTGCAAATGCACTATCTCCCCCTTTAACACTTTAATAAAAGCTGTGCTTGCATTACATATACCGTGCTTACATTACTGCCATCAAATGTATTAGCAGATCAACAGCCATCTTTACAAAGGTGCTCTGATTTATAAGTGTATGTATGTGTGTATTTGATGTGTCAAACACGTGTGTGTATTCCTACACAAACACACACACAGGGTGCACTAGCGATGTCACAGGAGAGCAATTGGCTCCACCTGAGAGAGGAGTTTCTGGGGTGCCTTTAACCTTTGCTTGTGTGCTTTACCGACACTCAGAGCTCCTATTTCTAGAAGTCTGGCTTCTGGGAGTCAATAACGGTTACGTTTCTGTCAATGCAGCCGCCAGCATGACTTTCTGGTTCGGCCTGATGGTTCCTGGAAACAGCCCTTTGGGGTTCCGCACTTCTGGGAAACCGTGGTGCTGCAGGGGTGTCAGGGGTGGCATGGTGGCTGCTGGTCTGCAGGGAAGGCAGGCTGCAGAGCAGGGGCGGGTGGTGAGGCCATGCTCTGGTCTCATTCTCACCCCACGAGCAGTCAGTGGGCTGTTCTTGTCTGACTGGCTGACGGGTGGAGGAGATGGCTCCTAACGCCGTCCAGGAGCTTCCCATCTATACACAACTGCAGCCTCAGAAGAGCTCTGTTAACTGGCTGGCTGTCCTCAGATGTAGCTGACAGCCCACCGGGACTGACCCGGCCCAACCAGGAGAAAGGAGAGTTAATATTTCTGTCTTCACAAAGTCCTTTCTACAGCCTCACATTTTTACAGCCATTCTTTATGCTCTTTCAGGTTGTGTTCCAATTCTCAGAAACATTTAGATCTTTAAGCATGAGGTAGGATTCCAAAGCAAGGACACCAGGCCCCGGCACCACCACAGGCAAGCCTTCGGGGTCCTTCCTCTTTGTTCTCTGGCTGACCACGGCTTGCCCCAAACGCCTTCTCAGCTGCACTTGACGCTGCTCTTTGATCCAGGCGTGGACACTGTTCTCAGATTTTCACCAAAAGAACAGAATGTGCAAAGGATTCAGACTCTGCAGCTGAAGAGGTCTCAGGGGTCCGGGGCTTTGATGACTGTGGTAGCCCTCGCTGTCAACCTGCCTGAGTTTAGATCACCATGGAAACACCCTGGCTGCCCCTGTGAGGATGTTTCGAGGAAGGTTTGATTGAGGTGGGAAGATCCCCCTAAATGTGGGTGGTACCCCAAGGGCCGGGGTCCTGTACTGAAGAGGTCAGAGTGGGCGGAGCACCATCAACCACCTTTCCCCGCCTCCTGACTGTGGAGACACATGACCGGTCACCCGTGCTGCCCCGCCCCTTGCTGCCCATTCCACACAAAACCTCTGCCCTTTAATTGCTTTGTCACAGCAACAGTGACTGATCTTCCCAGTCACCGCCCCACCCGGCTTTCATCATCGGGGAAGCGCATAACAGCACCTCTGCCAGCCACAGCGCGGGCAGCTGCGGGACAGGCGCGTCGGGCACAGTGCCAAATCCAGCAAATACCCAGTTTCAACTGGCAGAGAGTGTCATCTTCTGACACAGAAATGCTTTTGCTTTAAGATAGATATGAAAGGTGCTTGGGGTCTTTAAAGCAGAATGAAAAAATCAAGGATCACGAAGAAGCCTTATGGCAAGCCATTATTTTGTAAGCTAATTTAAATGCAAACATGCACACACATACATATATATATACAACACATGCATGTATACATGTGTATATATACATGCACATATATACATGCATCTATGCATACACATATATGTATATATACATGTATTACACATACAAACGCACACATCTATATACATATATGCATATGTATATACATATATACATATGCATACACATATGTGCATGTGTGCATGCACACACATGTATATATACGTATATGTATACATATACATATACCCACACACACACATATATATAGACAACACACATGTACACATACACACATATATGTATGTACATATGTAATTTGAACAGAATGAGTAGACAGTGCTACTTCTCGAAAACATGGGTTATTAAATTAAAGTCTCAGTGCAAGGCACAGACTACCTCCCTGTGAGTTGTTGATCCATGAGAGCAGGCCCCAGGGCCCAAACAACATACATTATTATTTGCTCTTGGCTGCCCCAAAACTAAACAGCTGAAGACAGCAGAGACACCAGCTCCACAGGACACTGGCTCTCCGGCCGGCCAGCCTCCACGGAGCAGGACACTGGCTCTCCGGCGGGCCAGCCTCCACGGAGCAGGACACTGGCTCTCCGGCCGGCCAGCCTCCACGGAGCAGGACACTGGCTCTCCGGCGGGCCAGCCTCCACGGAGCCGAAAGGTGCTGTGTGGGGAGGAAACACTGCACGTCCCACCCAGTGCTGGACCCTGCACACTGCAACCTGACATGCTGGCAGGTTGTGCCGTGGCTGCAGTGGCGGCAGATGGGTGTGGGGCAACCAGCACCCTTTGACTGACAGGAGGCTGCACAGCAGGAGGGAGATCACAGGCCCTCTCCTGGACCCCACTGCTGCTTACGAAATGCCTGTGCTGCCGAAAAGCTTTTTAAATGCTTACTTTTTTAAAATTTATTCTTTTTTTATTTTTTGAGACAGAGTTTTTTTAATCTTTTAAAAAGTATTTTATATTTGAAATTATAATATAATCATATCACAATTCACTTTCCCTCAAAGCACTTCTACATATCCCTCCTTTGGTCTCTTCCAAATTCACAGCTTCTTTATTCATTAACTGTTTTTACTAGTTGTTTCCATTTCCCTATGTTCTCATCCCCCACTCCTCGCCCTCCACCACCCCACCCACCCCACTCCCAGTCTGCTCATCCAGATCTCATCCACTTCCCCTTCGCTGGGCCATCCATGTGTCCCTCCTAGGGTCCCTCCAGCCAGCCTCTCTGGAGCTGCGGGTTGCAGTCTGGCCATCCCTTGCCTCACATCCAGCATCTACTTATCAGCTGATAAACTCCTTCAGTAAGGTGGCAGGATACAAGATTAACTCAAAAAAAATCAGTAGCCCTCCTATATACAAATGACAAACGGGCTGAGAAAGAAATCAGAGAAACATCACCCTTTACAATAGCCACAAATAATATAAAATACCTTGGAGTAACTCTAAGCAAATGAAAGACCTGTATGATAAGAACTTTAAGTCTCTGAAGAAAGAAATTAAAAATATCAGACAATGGAAAGATCTCCCATGCTCATGGATAGGTAGAATTAACATAGTAAAAATGGCAATCTTACCAAAAGCAATCTACAGATTCAATGCAATCCCCATCAAAATCCCAACACAGTCTTGGAAAGAACAATACTTAACTTCATATGGAAAAAACAAAAAAAAACCTAGGATAGCTAAAAGAATCCTGCAAAATAAAGCAACCTCTGGAGGCATGATGATCCCTGACATCAAGATCTACTATAGAGCTATAGTAATAAAAACTGCTTGGTACTGGCATAAAAACTGAGGCGTGAACAAATGGGATCGAATTGAAGACCCTGACATTAATCCACACACCTATGAACATATAATTTTCGACAAAGAAGCCAAAACTGTACCATGGAAAAAGAAAGCATCGTCAACAAATGGTGCTGTCATAAATGGATGTCAGCATGCAGAAGATTGCAAATAGATCCATGTCTATCACCATGCACAAAACTCAAGTCCAAGTGGATCAAAGACCTCGACATAAGTCCAGTTACACTGAACTTGATAGAAGAGAAAGTAGGAAGTAGTCTTGAATGCATTGGCACAGGAGACCACTTCCTAAATATAACACTAGTAGCACAGCCACTGAGAGCCCAATTAATAAATGGGACCTGTTGAAACTGAGAAGCTTTTGTAGAGCAAAGGACACAATCAATAAGACAAAACAACAGCCTACAGAATGGGAAAAGATCTTCACCAACCCCACATCTGACAGAGGACTGATCTCCAGAATGTATAAAGAACTCAAAAAGCTAGACTTCAAAATACTGAACAATCCAATTTAAAAAATGGGCTACAGAGCTTAACAGAGAATTCTCAACAGAAGAATCTCAAATGGCTGAAAGACACTTAAGGAACTGCTCAACATCCTTAGCCATCAGGGAAATGCAAATCAAAATGACTCTGAGATACCATCTTACACCTGTCAGAATGGCTGAGATCAAAAACACTGCAGACAGCTTATGCTGGAGAGGATGTGGAGCAAGGGGAACACTCCTCCACTGCTGGTGGGAGTGCAAACCTGCACAGCCAACCTACATCAGCAAGACCTGAACATGGCAGTACAGAAGAAACAGAAGAAACGTTTGTGTTCATGTACAGGGGTCTGTGCTGCTCTCAGCTGTGCTCAGAGAAGCTTCTTCTTGTGCGAGTGATGGTGATGGTCAGTGCAGAGCACTGGTGAAGATACGGAGTCTGTAACCCTGAGTACTCAGCCGGGGACGGGTCCTCTCTAACCTCCCACAGGCCCAGGTGCAGGGAACCTCACTGATGACGGGGCAGAGAGAGTCCATAGACGGGGAGGAGTGCTGTGAGATGTTAGACGACGCAGCCCGGCTGGTGCACACACCCACTCACAGCAGCCGAGGTCACCTCGGCAAGACCAGCCCAGCGTGGTATCGAGTGTGGATATTGGCAACTGATGGCTGCTGAGGAAGGAGAGCCACTCTCCGAAGACATGGCTATTGGTGGGTTGACCGTGCCCCAGTGAATGGCCACACACCCATGTTCATGTGGGCGGCCCTAACTGGATTCCAGGGTTGTCAGTGATACCAACAGGGAAATGAATTGGGGAGGGAGACAGGTGGGGGCGGGAGGGAGCTGGTGATGGATAGAGATGGTCGAAATACATTCTATAAATACATGGAACTTCCAAGCAGTAACAAGTATTATTTAGGATAATTTCTAAAAACACAGAATGCAAATGATAATACCATCGCAAAGGTACCTGAGGGCAGCAGCGTGTCCGGGGAGCCGCTGGCAGAGGCATCACCATTGTCACTGTTCTCCCCAAATTCCTTCTTGTATATGGACAGCATGTACGAGATCCGGTAATCCAGCCTGACGCTCAGGATGAACTGGAAGAGTTAACACGGCAAATCAGTTCCATCAGCGCTACTGAAAGACGCCGTTCTGCGAAGATGGTGCAGCTGTTCGCATAGCACGCACACACGTCACAGGCTGGGGAAGGAAAGCCTGGAAACAGGGTTCCATCCCCAGAACTCACGAAAAGTGAAAGCAGCAGCTCCACAGAGACACTGTCATACATGTGCTCTCCATACAAACACTGTCATACATGTGCTCTCCACAGAGACACTGTCATACATGTGCCCTCCACAGAAACACTGTCATACATGTGCTCTCCACACAAACACTGTCATACATGTGCCCTCCACAGAGACACTGTCATACATGTGCCCTCCACACAGACACTGTCATATATGTGACCACCACATAGACACTGTCATACATGTGCCCTCCACAGAGACACTGTCATACATGTACCCTCCACAGAGAACACTGTCATACATGTGACCTCCACACAGACACTGTCATACATGTGACCTCCACACAGACACTGTCATACATGTGACCTCCACACAGACACTGTCATACATGTGACCTCCACATAGACACTGTCATACATGTGACCTCCACACAGACACTG